ATATATTACTTACGTTATAATCAGCTTGAAGCATTTCCAAAATTTCGTAGATTTTCAAATTGAACCAGAAACTTCATAAATTAAGTTTTAAGTATAAAGCATATTCTACATTATAAATCATTTAAATTTGATAAGAAAAGGAGTTTTCAAAATGTTTCTCAAACAAACCTCAACAGGCCATGAATTATGGACTAAATCATCATAATTCGTTCGACAAGACAAGCTCTGTGACAATTTTTGACAGATGGTAGCTGAGCTAATTTCAAAAAAATTTTTTATACGAACATAGGTCCGATTTGTTTTTGTTTAGAAGTTATAAGCAATTTAAAATATATAATTTCATATTTCAATCAAAGTAGACTAATAAATAAAAATGATAGTTGCTATAACAATAATTATTATTCGTGTCATTTTGTTTATTCATTTGACAATTAGCGTTAAAATGCTAAGTAGAAGATGCATTTATTTATAATTGAAGAGTATGCAGATGTTCTCTTTGTATAATCCAATGGGAACGCCAGACAAGCAGCCCGAGAATAGCAATGAAGATACCCAAATAGACTTCAACCTGCCCGCACAGACTTTAGTGCATCATTACGTAGATTTCCATGTGAATGTTCAAAATGAAGAAAATATAATAGATGCTGTCATTGACAACTCTTCAAATAGTGTTCGGCGTAGTAAGAAATCTTCATTTATTATCTAATTTTGTATGTGTTTATTGAACAGAGAAATATTACATCCGTTTCATCGCTAAAGTGTACAAGCGTTAAATGCTAGAGATTAGAATTTTGACGCAGGTTACTTCAACAACATGCACAAAATGATAGATTCATTTCTTTTATCACGTGGTCTGATGAAGTGTATTTTACTAGAAGCGGCATAAATAAAAATCATAATGAACATATCTGGGCGTTACAAAATCCGCATGCAATTAGATCAAGACGATTTCAGCAACGTTTCAGTATCAACTTTTTAGGGTAACATTTTCAGCAATAATTTAACTGCATGTACATGTATCTTTATGTATGTATGTATGTATTGTTTATGCACGTACATGATCCTTTAAAATGTAGAGAACTTTTTTGGAAAACGATCTTCTTGATGACGTATGGCGGAATATTGTTCAAAATATGTTGTATCAGCACAATGGTGTACCACCACATAAAGGGAGACTGCTTGGTTAAATGATCATTTCCCGAATAAATGGATAATAAGGTCCAATAGCATGGCCATCGCGTTCCCCAGATCTAAAACTGTTAGACTTTTATTTATGGAGACATATGAAACAGCTTTTCTACTATGTTGAAATCACTACCCGCCAGCAGTTAGCAGCTAACCAGATAAGAAATTATCCAAGTCTCCCTCTAGTGATGAAATCTTTAGTTCTCCGATGTGAGGTGCATTCGAGCCGAGAGTGGACATTTTGAACAATGTTTATAGTCTTAAAATTTGTTAATTTATTTAATAAAGGTTTAGTAATGTTTAAACTTTAAATAATTATTTTTATAGTAACCATCATTTTTATTTATCATTCTACTTTGAAGTATGAAATTGTGTTTTTTAAAATTCTTGTAACTAAACAAAAACGAATCGGATTTAAGTATGTTCATATAAGAGAAATTGTTTGAAATTACCCAGCTACCATCTGTCAAAGTTTGACATAGAGCATGTAGAACACCAATTTTTTAAAACAATTTTAGAGTAGCATTAGTAGTATATTTAAAAGCCTGTATCTAAGTAGATAAAAGTTTTAAAGGATAATTAGTTCCTTAACTAACGGGAAAAAATTTGTTTGGCACATTTCTACTAAGACATTTAATTTTTTAAACACAACATTTATCAAGATAGATCTACTTCAATTCTGTGGATGATATAGTTTTGTTTAAATTCTATTTTTAATTCATGAATTGTAAAAACACAAAAAACACGAAATAGTTTGCTTGAATAATTCTGTTCATATTTTTCACACAATTACGGAGATGAATCAAATATAAACCGGAATTTTGTGCATTTGACTCTCGAAACTACGTGAGCAGCGTAGAGCAGCGGAAAATCGGTGATGGGAGAATGGACAGGGGGTAGCAATGCACACGACCCTCACACTTACATCCGCAATTTCAGTATCGCTATGACTCGTTATTATTCGTTTTCTCGCCAACAAA